TACCGGCGGTGCGCAGGTACGAAGTTGATGCGCGGTATGGTACCGCGAGCGGCCAGTAACCGCAGCAGGTAACTGTTGGCGATGCGCATGCGCACGCCAACACCCAGGCATGCACGCCAGCGTGCGGTAATGCACGCCAGCGCGCAGCAGCGCACGACAGTGGCTCGCGCAGCGCCAGTCCTGTTCAGCTAGTGTTGTGCGCGCATTCATGAACCCAGTAGCACGTCACGGTGTGCGGTAACACCCGACTGTGCCCAGTTCCAAGGCAGCCGGTGCACATAGCACTCGGCAGCACTCCAGGTCAGGTCTCGTTCACGTCCGTCATGGCTAAGTGCACCCAGCACCCTCGGCCGTGGCCAGGGCAGGCCCGGCAGCGGCCATGCCGCACTCAATTCCGTCAGCAGTCACGCCCGCAGCCGCGGCAAGGCCGCGGACAGATTCAGCAGCCAACCAACCGGTCCAAGCAGACCGGCAGTTCGGCCAGACCGGTTCAGACCGGTTTTGACCGGTTCAGACCGGTTCGGTCCGTAAATTATCATTAAAATCCCAGTTTATGTTTTAAGTCTCGTTTTCAATTAATTTTCGGGTCCAATTCAGTTCAGTAAAATCATGTCAGTTCAGTTCTGATTTTAGCCGGTTCCGGTTATACTGGTTAAGTCCAGTAGAGCATCTTAACATATTTAAAAGTTATTTTTATCAGTCTGAGCATAGTATTTAGTAATTGTTTATATTATTTTCAGTTTGATTAGGATACGATTATCAGCACTACCTTCAGTCAGACAGTTCAGGTGGGGACTCAGACTGGGTATTACATTTATTATAATTATTCTACCATGTTTGTGGTATGTATTATTAGTATCCGCTCGGAATGGTCACCGGTCCATTATGGGTTCTAGTGGCCTTAATCTGCCCACTAGAGTGTGCACATGGTGTCCGGCATTAGTTTTTGCTGACAGATGTTCAGGTATCAGGCAGATGACGATATTATCTCACCATCAGTATCAGATCATGATTATTCAGTACCGGTTTCATGTTCATGTTCATGCCAAGATCATGTTATTGTAATTATTTTCAATGTTTACTTTAGTACGAGTTTCCACGGAGCACAGTGTATTTTAGTGCTCACGTCCCACTTTTATCATGTTTTTCAGGTCAGGAGGTCGGGCCGGAGAAGTGAGATGACGGATGATTAAGGACTTTTGCTCATGTGATTGTAAATATTTTGATGATGCTACGTTTCTGCTGATTATGATGTTTTGACGAACTTATCTTTTGATCAGATTTTCAAATATTTAATGCCTTCAGTAAACTGTAGATTTTTGCTAAAGACTAAAATAACGGTTTTTCAGAATAAGTCATGTTTTTACGGTAGCACCCCAAATCAGTTTTCGCAAATTAAAAGATTTTATTTTAAAAGCTTTCGCGAAATTACGCACTGTGATTTCACGATAAGGCGGGGTGTTACATTATCATTCTTAGGCAAAATAATTATACAAGTTAGCATTTAACGGATTAGTTATTTGTTGCTTGTGTTGTCGGGCTCTACTTCTTAATGCTATTGCTAGGATAATTTTGCACGGTGTTGGGAATTGCCTAGTAATAAGGGTTGTGTAGGAGGATTTATTTTGCATGGCCAATTTAGGAGTCAGAATTCATCATTCAACGGCATCTACATATTTATGAATTGATAATATTTGCATCAAGGATCAGTAGAATAATTCGGGGTGGAAATCTATTCAACCGGAGCACTTTACCTATATATTCATCTTCATCTTGCTGTTACTTTTGAGTCTTTTATTTAATAATATTTTACCAATACCTTCTTCATTTTCTTGTTAATTAGATAATTAGGATTATAAATAAATTCTCCCCCAGTTTAATCATATAGTTACAGTCATTTAATTAAATTATTTCACGTGGATACGATCCTTGCTCACACTACTACATATTTTTAAGCAAGGTTAATTTGGGTGCCTACGACAGCACGGCCAAATTTTGGCGTCGTTGCCGGGGAATTATTGTAATTAAATCTTTGATTGTGTGATATTATTATTATTATATTTTTTATTTTTATTTATTTTTTTATATTGTTATTTTTCTTGTCTTCTCTCTGCTATCTTTTACTTCTCTAACAGCTTGGTTAGTTTGATTTATATTTTCTTGGCAGTTGATGATCGGGACGCGTTCCAGTGTTTCTGAAGATATTCAATTTGACCCAGAAATTGAGAAAACAACTAAGAGATTGAGAAAATAAGCAAGGAGGAGGGCAGCCCCTATAGACATCGAAGAGGGGACACTTACCAGTTTGTTCGAGATTAATAGTGATTCGGAAGAGGACTTGGAAGAAAAGGACTTGGACGTGGTCCAGATGGCGAATGCGAACAGAACATTGAAGGAGCTAGCAGCTCCTAATTTGGATATTCAGCCTCTTTGCATTACTTTTCCTGCTATAGACGATAACATTACCTTTGAACTGAAATCTGGGCTAATCCATTATTTACCTTCGTTTTATGGTCATACAGGAGAGGATCCGTACAAGAACTTGAAAGAGCTTCACTTGGTTTGCACGAGCATGAAACCAATAGGTATTACAGAAGAACAAATCAAGTTGCGAGCCTTCCCCTTTTCATTGAAAGATGCGGCTAAGGATTGGCTTTACTACCTTCCGTCGGGCTCAATTGAAACATGGGAGGTCATGGAACGACTTTTCCTGGAGAGATACTTTCCAGCATCCCGAGCTGCCAACATACGTAAAGAGATATGCAGGGTGCGACAATTACATGGGGAAAACTTGTACGAGTATTGGGAGCGTTTCAAGAAATTGTGCACGACTGCCCGCAACATCAAATCAGCGAGCAACTACTGATCCAATGTTTCTACGAGGGCCTGGCATTGATGGACAAGAACATGGTCGATGCTGCAAGTGGTGGAGCTCTTGTTGATAAGACACCAGCCGAAGCGAGTCGTGTAATTGCTACCATGGCGGCAAACTCACAAAAATTTGGCACCCGTAACGATGTGACGCTTAAAGCGGGGACGGGAGCAAATAAATCTGTTGTAGAGGAAAAGCTTATGGAACTGACAACTTTGTTGAAACAATTATCTGTTGGAGGAATGAAGCCTGTGAAGCCTTGTCAAATATGTGCCACCACCGATCATGATACCGACTCTTGTCCCGTGATAGAGAATGAAATCGAGGCACATGCGAATGCAGTCAGTACAAATGGGAACTTTCCCAGGAAGCAGCAATATGATCCATTCTCGAGTACATATAATCCCGGTTGGTGCGCGATCTCCCAAACTTGAGGTACGGGAACTCATTTTACCAGCAGCCTGGCCCGAACCATGGTGGGAGTTTCCAGCAACATCCCCCTCAATTATTTCGTAGACAAGCACCACCCGAGCA